ATCTATATATATATATATATATATATATATAGATATGTATGTATACATTTATATATGTTATTTACCAAATAAAAACTATAGTAAACAAAATATCGCATTTTAATAATAATTTAAAACAAAAGTAAAAATGAAAGCAACAACAAAAAAAGAAAAGAAAAGAGAATCATCGCTTTTATGTTAAAAGATTAGGTATCTTATCTCGCGGGTTCAAAGATTTTACCCATATTTTGATTGAATTGCTCGTTCTGTGAGTAGGCACATGCACACGTGTACATGTATACGCATGTCGCATATCGCAACGAATATTCCGATCTATTCAAAAATAAATTTACGCATCAATTATTTTATTATGAACGGATTTACGTCTAGTTACGTTTAGTTACCTACCTACATACATACTTTAGGTCATTTACATGAACATGATTAAGAAGTCTTTACAATATATTAAAAAAAAAAAAAAAAAAAAAAAAAAAAAAAAACACAAGGTTCATTGAACTCTGTTGACTTTCTTTTTCTCTTCTCTTAATTCAATTTGAACGGCCAACTGACCCAAAGACCTAAATAGATAAAACCATGGAAATCGAAAAAGAATCATTATTTATTTATTTATTGATTTACTTATTTATTTATTTATTTTTTTGTTTTACAATTTAATGTAATTGAGTCTTTGTTAACTAAGTAAAAGCTGCAAGTGAAAATGTATAAATCAAAAAAAAAAAAAAAAAAAAAAAGACAAGAAGGAAATGATTAATTGATTGCCTTTGAAATCATTAAAAAGATATCTATTGATTGATAAAGCAAATAACGCGGAAGTACCTGGAAGACTTTTTAAAGTCTACGTAGACTTTATGTAGCACCTAAGTTAGCCATTTAAAGACGAAAATTATAAACTTTGAGACATTAAAACTTAAAAACAAAAAAAAAAAACAAACAAAAAAAGTCTTTTTTTTTTTTTGGTTTTTTTTTTTTTTTTTTTTTTTTTATTATCGAAAAGGTGAAAGTATCGATTTGTATGTTGTACTCGAACATTTACACACATATGCGAGTATAAGTGGATGTGTATGATACGGTACGGTATAGAAAGGCATTGCATTATCTAAATTTTTGAAGCTTTAATTTTTTTTATTGACGTTAAAGTTTATTAACCTCTTAATGTGCCAGGGCCATATTAATTTTAATTAATAGTACAATTTTTTTTTTTTTTTTTTTTTTTTTTTTATAACAAAATGCTATTACTCTTTAGAGATTATACATAAAAAATAAACTCTACATATTTTTTTTTCTGTTTAAATTATTTTACATAAATGTTAAGGTTTTGGTGAATTTTATCAATTACCGCTAATAATTAAATAACATACTTTGCCTTTTTTTTAGCCTGCTTTTTTTCTTTTGTTTTTTGTTTTGTCGGAATAAGATGCACAAATTTATTTTATTTGTTCAGGTAAAAAAATGATCATTTCAATGACCTTTTTATTAATTTTCCTTATTAATTGTTTTAAGAAATTCTCTTTTAATTCAATATTTAATTTTTCTTATTGGCTGAGAGGTTAACAATTTTCTGTTTTTCTTTTTTTTACGTTAACTTGTACGATTGCTTAAAAAAAGGAGCAATGAAAGAAGAGCTATTGCTTACAGTTAAATATTTACTGAAACTTTGCTGAATATTTATGATTTTGAAAAAAGTACGCATATAACCGATAAGTTGCGCAGTTAAGTTTATTGATGTCGAAAAATCGTTCAGTTATTCAAACTACAATATACGAAAATATAACATCTATTGACTTTATATTGTTTAAAATTGTCCTAAAAAAAAAAAAAAAAAAACATAGAAATCCTATATATATATATATATATATATATATATATGATTATGTACAGGATAGATATATATATATATAGGATTTTTTTACTTCGTTTTTGAAAAAACCAAAAAGTCGTACTTGATATTTTAGTATAAAACCATCTTTTATAAGTAACTCACACTCAGCAATAAACAACGTGGTAAAGTGGACAACAAACCCTATATAGATGAGTATCACCCGCTCTCTAATAGTCATTACAAAGAGAGGCCTGAAGTTGTTTTTTTATCAAAAAAAAAAGAAAAAAATAGAATAAGATAATTTAGGATTTAGATCACTAATATTGAAAAAAAAGATGTCGTTCCTCATTTGAAATTCGTTTTATACGAAATTAACCGCTTGTAAAAATAGCAGTTGCTTTTTTTCCGTTTATTTTTCTATTTTTTTTTTCTATTTTTTTTTTTTTTTATTTTTTTTTTTTTCTTTTTTTTACAAAACGTTTGTGTTTTATTAGGTAGTTTGTATTAAAAATTTAAATATTTATCGAAACCTGGTTTCGTTAGACAAGGTTTGTATGCCAGTCAAATTACCTTATAGTGTATTGTGTCATAAAATGGAATTAATTACGTGGTCGCCATTAAAATGATTTTCATATAATTGTGTTCTATCATGAAATAACAAAGTTTATATAAAATGTTAAAACAAAAATTAAAAAAAAAAAAAAAAAAAAATACTAAATTAATTGTATTAAGTCATTAAAAAAACATCACTCATGGCAGTCGTTAGGACTGCATTTGTCATCGGAATTTTTCGAGGATGAAGAACATGAATTGACTATATCTACTAGATCCACTGTATCTCCAACCGAAGCTGAATTAGCCGCTTCGATTACAGAATATCCGATGTCAGGCGGTGTGCCCTCAGGATAACCTAAATAATAATCGGCTATGCGTCCGGCTTCACGTAAACCGGATAAAAAAGCTCCATGTACTGTGGCAGGATAATTTCGTATGGTGTGCTCGCCGGCAAAGAAAAGACGAGGTAATTCGTCCAATTCTTGATTAGGATTTGGATTGGTTGGATTTGGCGGTATTACCGGGGCAGCTAATAAATCATAATCACTGCCCGAGGAGCCGACAGATACAAAACTATAGGATCCTCTAGCCCATTGATCGGCTCGCCAACGTGTTACTACCGTTTCCTTGGGTTGCGGTACCGAGCCATTACCAAAAATTCCTTTTAATACGGCAATGCAACGTCCGACTATTACGTCATCGGAGACATTTTCCATAATGGCAGCCGATTGTCCAGCGACTAAGGCGAGTAATACTGGCGACGAGGATATGCTCCAGAATAAAAACAATTCACCACGGCTGGACGTTGTGCTGCCAACGTGGCCGAATAGATTCGTATTGGGATCCCAAAATATTCGATCAAAGCATAATACAACTTTGTTAAGATTACCAAATCCCAAACGTTGTATGGCCTGTTGTTTCCAGTCGGGCAAAGGCGGTACAAACTTTACTGTATTCGCCTGTTGGGATTGCACTTTAGCAGTGGCTATTTTTAAAACACCTAAGGTTAAGGTGCAAAGAACCAAATCGGCTTTATAGGTAACTAAGGAATTGTTAGTTTTCACATTTTCAGTTACGATTTCCACGCCAGTGGGGAAATATTTGATAACTTTAACAGCAGTATTTATGCGTATATCTAGATCTTCAGTTAAAGCGATGGGAACACATGAATAGCCATTGCGTACGGTGGTATGATTACCAATAAATTCAAAGTCGTCGTCTTGATCCCAGTGTTTTAGAGACAGGTTATTCAATGGGGTAGCGTTGGCGAACTCTAAATTAGCAAAATGCCAATCTAGTATCTGACGATCCTTAGATGATAAATAAACATCGCTGCAAAAAACTCGATCAGTTTTTATTTCTTAACAAATATTTTACCTACCTTGGTGGATTGGCTTCCAATTCTTTTAATTTCATTTGCAAGAGCTCGTCTTCTTTCAGCAACTCTTCATATTGTTTATATGCTTTCGTCCATTCATAATCAGCTGCTCTCAATTCAAACTCATGTTCCATAAACGCGGTGTCTGTCTCACCGGTACGGATTGGTCTAGTGTCCAACAACTTGCTATGCGAACTCTTTAGCTTATGTATAGACTCTAGAACTTCACTTATTTTGGTTTGATTTTCTATAATTGCTTTTTGTATCTCACAGACTTGAGTCAAGTGTTGTACCTGCTTATCTTTTACCGCCTTCTCTTGCAGTTTAATAATCCATTCTAATGCTTGACCTAATGACACTGGCGTATTTCCTGCATAATTGAAATCCAATTGATGTGATAAATAGCTAGCAGATTCCAATAGACGATTGAATTCTCGTTCTACCATGTCATCTTTATGCTTTGGTACTGGTTTGCCGCCTGCTCCAAAAAGTGGGCAAGCCTGTCGTATGGGCACCATTTCCATACCGATTTGTTTGCTTAAAATAGTCATTGGATTGCCCCAGACGCCTGTCACGACCATAGCACCTAAGTCAGCAATATAGCTGTTTTTACGGAATGTAGCAATACGTCCACCTACGCGATTTCTAGCCTCCAATACAATGACATCCATACCAAATTGTTGCAGTTGTTGAGCAGCCGCCAAACCTGATATGCCTGCCCCTATAACTATAACTTTTCCAAGCTTTTTCATTGGTAATTGTCGTATTCGTGTAAATATACCAAAGTTTATAAAACCATGACGCTCTAGAAATGAATGAATACGTTTCACCAAATTCGGATCACTATCAAATGGTGGCTCCATATCTTTAAGCACTTGCTCTAAAACCAGCTGTAGTTTGGGATTTTCTATCCACATTTGCAGCAAACGATTACGGATATTTAGAAATACACGCTGTGCAACCAAACCGGTTTTCGTTATATCAGGAAAGCAGGCAGCCTCATTAGAAGTCATCTTATCAAACGGTAGGCGGGATTGAAAAGCTGCCCCTTCCAAGCCTGTAAGAATTTCCTTATAAGCCTCCGCAGCAGCAGCAGCGGCTTCACGCGGGTCAGTTATCTCTTTGGGAAATGGGCTGCGAGAAGTTTCATTTTTTTTTGGTTTATTTTCTAATTTTTTTTCCGTTGTAGAAGAACTGGTTCCTACAGCCTGCATACCAGACGGTGTTGCCGGCTTTTCTTCACTGTTTTGAACATTAGACTTATTAGTATAATCTACCTTCGGCTTAATTCGACGGCTAGTACGCCTTTCATCAGCTGTCAATTGGGCATCGTTAGAGTCTTCATCGGCGGCATACTTTTTCACTGCACCGCCAGTTTGAGGTATTTTTCGTTTCGGTGAGAGCTCAGTATCCGAGTCATCACTAATTAATGTCACACATTCAATAGGTTCAACGTTATTGAATGTCTTTAAGGATGTTGCTGTGGGTTCATTAGTTGCCAAGGCGGCCTCTACTAAACGTTTTCCTATGTCAGATGAGAAAAATAGGTCATCAGCGTCTGCATTGCTAATAGACATGATAGTTATTATGATTAATATTCGAACTGCTTTTCCTCCTTTTATTTAGAAATAACTTTTTTCACAATTCATTCGTCTTTCTCAATAATAAATCCAACACTTATGCTTTGTCTTATTTATTTAGGGCAGTCAGATGGGAACGTTAACAATATGTTTAAAGGGAAATAATGATGATAGCCGGCAGGGGGCATTCTCAAAATTGGTAACAAACTAGGCCATGGATAGACACATACAGGCATTATGGTTAAATTGAATTTTCTCCCCGCACTCTCTCGCTAGTGGTAGTAAAATTTTTATAAGGAAATTTTCTAGTTTGTACAAGAACCTATTAGGTATTGCCATATCTACGCTTTATATATCGTTGTAAATATTTGAAATTGTTGATGTGGTTAGAATATTTACTCGTTACAGGTAGCCATTAATTGTTATCCAATGAGAAATTTGTAAAAAATGGGAAAAAAATTGTTTGAAACTAAATAAACAAACGTTGAAAACGCGTTGAAAAATTGCAAGGGATATGTGAGTTTATTTTATAACTTTCTTCTGGTAGTATACAAATTTACTTGTAATAAGAAAATTACTATAACAATGCTGTTAACATCCTAGCGGTGGCAAGTAATCCCTTCTTTTTTCTGAGGCGTATATCAATAGAATGGGACAAAATCAAAAGGTCTTGCTCAAAGACAAGGAAAATTTTTGATAAATGGTTTTCGCTTAACTCCTACTACCGAAATGTCCAATATTTCAGACGGTGGACGTCAAGACATACCATGCATTTAACTTTCCAACGATGAATTGAAAGACTTTTCACCCTACATTGATATTGATAAGGAAATGAGAGGAGTTTATTTAACAGGTATGGCGAAAATTATTCCTGCACCTGAATGTATTCTTCGTGACTCTGGCTGCGAGATAGATCAAATAAATATGACTATGTCAGTTCCAAAATTTCAAATGATTTCTGCTTGAAGTGTTTTTATAAAAAATCGAGTTCGTAAGCAAGAACAATACCAAGATTAAAGAGAAAGTCTTCTTGGTACCTAGACATAATTGTTCGTCGATGCTTTCAACATCGAGCAAAACAATAAACTATTTATGAAAACTGCGAGGACCGAAGTCTCAAAATCATTTTGGCCAGACACTTTTGGTTCTCATTCCTCTTTTACTTGTATATAATTATTTCTTCTTATTATTATTATTAAGCCTTATATTATATTTTTTTGTCTGTGCCTAATTCTATATTGTATTAGTATAAGTGTATATATTACTCATGTATGCTATATTTATCTTATTCTGAATTATCTGCGATTATTATGCTCTTTATATATGTAGACAAACTCTGGGCGAATTGCCAGAGTATAGGAACTTGTACGATTTGATCGGAACCTGGAGGGGTTATGACATTCGAAATTATATCAGCTGGTTTCGGTAGATATAGAGAAAATGGTGTCAGCATTTCCTCTTTCTCTCTCGTATGTTGGCTAAGGTGAGGAGCCTTTTAAGGATAGGCAATCGGTGAGAGTAGGAGAACTAGACTACGGAATTGTGACGTTAGACTGTAAGGCGAACGATCTAGCCCGGGAGTAGATTAAAGTCTAGGAAATGAAAATTAATTTACTTTATATTGCTACCGATTTTTGTGGGGGAAAAAATGGTTTTTCACTTAAAAAAAGTATTTTTTTTTTCAGAAATTTTTCCTCTTATGAATTGTGCATTTCATTAATATTCATGTAAATGAATCCCAATTGTATGGTCATTCTTTCGAATCGTATGATTTTGTTTTATTAATGCAATGCAAGCTCGATAGACATTTAACCGATTTTGTATATTGTGTTGCGCATTAAGTAAAATGCGTTAACTGCGTTTGACGCTTTGGTTATTTGCTATTTATCTCTAGCGGGGCAAAGTGTCAGGTGGCTTATCTTGTTTTTTTCTTAAGTACAGATACTATTCCGTCCTTCCATCATGCACAATTCTGTACAGTGTGCATACAGTATTGGAGAATGAGTTTTGGAAATAAAGATCAGAAATAGCCGTGGAATCGTCAAACGATCAGTTTCGCAAATTCGTGTTTTGTCTCGTTTCGTGATAAGAGAATAATTCGCGCGGTTGTTAAAGCGCCTGGAACTCATTCGACGATAAAATTTCCTAATACGCAGGTTAAAGTCCTTGGCTGCTGGAAGGTAGAAACAGCTTATATTCAAGCTCTTCGTATCAGTTCCAGTTTCGAAGATACGAAAGCATATTCCCACCATAAGAATGAATAACAAATCGTACCGAAATTTTCAGGCATGTCAGGCTTGGAAAGTTTTTCAATTTTCAATCTTTTGTTAACCTTCGTAGGCTTCGACAGGCAATCGTAGGATAACAAGATCATAGACATGATGTGTTGCGAAAAAGAAAAGGATTCATTTTAAATATCATTCATTTTAAGTATTATTTATTGTATTAAAAATATTCCTATTTTTACCTCAGTGTTTCACTTAATTCATTAATAATCCGAAATTCTTATTTGTATGGATATATTAACTTTGTTCTTCTTGCTTTCAAGTAAACTCTCTATGTGTTGTCTATTTTCAGTCAGCTAGGCAAGCGAATAAGAACGTTCTCCACCTACCTATAGAGCAGAGATCCATTCACATGATATACCGCAATATACGTGCAGGCACGGATTGTCGGTTAGATAAGTATGGAAGGAGAGGGAAGCAAAGTCGTTGTTTTGATTTAAACGTGAAAACAGCACACACGACGGGAAACGTCTCACCTTGCGGGTAGATCGTTCCAAAGGCGCGCAGTCTGATTGAAGAATGACTAGCCGCAAGGAGGTCCAGTAAGCGGGAATGCTAAGACATTTTTGTAATCCCGTTGAAGGACGGGAGGGAGGAGAGAGGTGGACTCTTTTATTTGTATAGAAGACTTGTGCTGGATGTGCCTATACATCAGCACTACATAGTCCATATTACGCCGATGCGTTTTGGATACGCGTCAACACATGCAGCTTTTCGTTGTATGCGCTCCGATCGTCTGCAAACAACATTTGGAAACCACGCCCACACATGCGAGTTATACTCTAATCTTAACTGGACACAAGCGGTGAAATGATACGGCTATCGGATTGTTTATACCTCTTTAAAAAAACCGACGCTCTTGACTGTATCTTTCGACACTTCGAACACATACATGTTCTGTCCAATGAACATCATTTGGTATTCTCATGCCTAGAACATCAAAAGTTGCCGATTCTTTTACATTGACACCACCAAACGAGCGAAATTGCTCATTACAGCACTGAGTCTTGGTGGCCTATTAGCTTGGCCCCATTCTGTTATTTTTATTGGGTCTCGATTTAAGGTGTCATTCATCATTTAGCGTTTGTGGTGCATGTCGGTGCTGCTAGGTCTCAGGGTAAAAGCGAATGAGTGCCACAGGATGTTGTGTTTAAATAGGATTCTGTCCAGGAAGAGTCAAGGAAAGTGAAAGAAGAGTGCCTTACGATATTCCATCCATCAGTTACAACTCTCATCGAACGGTTATTCCGGTAACTCGATATAAATCGAGTGAAATTCTTTTCGACACTAATCGCGATCAGCTTTAAGAGTAATTAGAACATCACTAGAGCCACCCGTCGGTGGAATGCCTTTGAGATATCCATTGCAATGAGTTTACTTTCGTCGAAATGGTGAATAATTCGGATTGTATTCCAGTTGCCTTAGCAGCTGCTAGTTGATCGTGGTCTCCATACCATGTCTATTGCAGAGTAGATTGTGCGGCTATGCTTCTTGGGTACGGGTTGGACATTGCTATGATATAAATTCCTAAACGAAATGAGTCTAAATTTAAATATATAAATTCATCTAATATTACCTTCAAACTTGACGGATTGACCAGACATCGTAGACACCTTACTTTAAATCGCATATTATTCAATTATTTATAGCATACGCTACGCTTTGTGGCACATGGCATGTTAAGTACGTACGTTTGTATGTAATATCCATATGTTATGATGTTGATCGATTTAAGTTCGCCGGTCGGTCTGTCGATTTTCTTCTGTGACTTACACGCCGCAATTTATGCGACATTCGAACGAAATTTAACGAAGGGCGAAAGGTGTTGAAACTGGTTTGGATCATTTCTTTTTTTTTTTTTTTGTTTCCTTTTCTCTTTCTTTTTTTGTAATAAAAACGTAAATGACGACTATAGGATCATATGTTGGCTGAGATATTAATCGCACGACTTTTATTTTGTCAAAGCGAATGGATGCAGAACGCTTAAAATGTTGGCAAAAATTTGCATCGTTACAATGGGCAAAACTGCAAGCTGTACGTCCAACTATAATAAGCACAAAGGCATTATGTGCTTTCTTTCGATATTATAGTTCGTGGATGATGGAGTATGCAAATGCATTAATTTTGTTCAGCATTTTAGTTGATTACAATTCATGCGCCCGCGTTTCTGTTCTCCTCATCATTTTTAAAGCGAAGCGATCGTCTGATATTACTTATAAAATTTCGGCCATAAAAGGTATGAGTTTGCGGTGGAGTCATAACTTTTTTATAATAGCATTTAAAAACTCTATAGTAAACACAAAAGATAGTCAGAATTAGCAAATATTTAGACTATCTTATCTTATAATGTAGCGAGAGACGAATTAAATTTGTTATTAGTATCTTGTACAGCGTTTCCTTCAGTTAGTTAAGTTGGGAAGCATGCTTTCAGCAAAAGTTTTAATTTTATTAATTGCTTCCATTTCATTCAACAATTCCGTGGCATTCTTCATCATGAGAAACGATGCAGATAATACCAATGGTACGATTCCAAGTGAATCTATCAGCATTCTAGAGTCGTTGCTGCATTCGTATCAAAGTCTGTTATTACAGTTTCAAACATCTTGGGAGAAATTGCGTAGTTCAGTTTTTGATGTAAAGGAAAGTGCAGAGCAAATGCAAACTAGACAAGCCATGTGGCGGCAATTAAGAGAAACGCGATTAAATTAATATTTTAAATAAAGGAAAAATAATATAATAAAGCAAAAGTGTGATAAATTCTTCTTCTCTGCCCTGACTCGCTTGTAGAGTTTCTTCGTGA